AGATACTGAGTTTAGACCTGAAGGAAAATGCTGCTATTTGCATTTAACACACTTGATGGCATCTGTCAGTTTGAAATAAACTTTTAAGTATTTTAAATGGCATAAAGATAAATACAATATACTAATTGCTAAATAAGAGTGTTCTGGGGAGCGCTTGAGTAACACACAGCAGTCCCATACTTGAATAGTAGGGACACAGTTACATTTAGACTGGATCTTTTGGTCCATATTGGGTTGAGTGGTTGAATGAGATTTTTAGGTATCTCGTCCATAAAGTTAAATTCTTCTTCTTGGTAGCTTTTTGTTGCAGTCATTTATTTATTTTTATTTATTTATTTGAATTGTAGCTACAGTTAGAAAAGGTTTCCCTGGATTAGGAAGTGTAATTATTTAGGCAGCAAACAAAGGACTGTTTTAGAAATTTTACTATCATTAGGAGGAAGTTTTAAAGGACTGGAATTCCATTGTCTTTTAAGAAGTAAGAAATATTTATTGATTCCCAAATGGAGCTGAAAAAAACCTTTCCTCTTTTAGAAAGTTGTGAATGACCCAGCGAGAGCTCTAGTAAGCTTTACTGAACCAAGCTGCTAATAGTTATTTAATGTTATTCTTCAGTGTGAAAGAATCTCCGTAGATTTTCCTTTTAATCTCTTTGAATTGCAGGCTCATAAACCTCTCTGACGAGTCCTGCCAGTGTTTTCTTAGATCCTACTGTTGAGACAATGGAGCCACAGAATTCTTTCACTTCTTGTTGTCAGACAAATCCAATAGAACACAAGGTCAGAAGGGCCTATACTTCTAAAGGTTGAAAGATTCTTTTTCAAGTAAGCACATAAATTATTTGAGTTTATCATTACATTGGTAGGGAATCCCTAGTTAATGATAGCACTCTGTTTTCTACATGTAAGTAAATCTGGCAGTTTTTCTTGTCACCATATCTGCCTAAGCTTTGTCAGCACAGCATTGGGTTTGAACAGACCTTAATGTTCCTGTATACCGTAGAAAAAGCTGAACCCATTCACTTCAAAAGAATTTGGAATCACGTAGTGTCACTGGACTCAAGATGGAGTTCACCAAATGCCAGGCTATGTGTCTTCTTTCCAAGAGACTGTTTGTCATTTTGTTTTTTTTAAGTTATTACCATATTGTAGCTAAGATTCCAGATTAAAATCTTGGATCTGTCTGTTTATTTAATTAAATCTCTTTCTAAGTCGGTTTCTGTTTTCTCAACATTTTTAGTAGTGTCATATGAAGGAGAACTTTGAGATGGAGTTTACATTTTCAGATACCTATTACAATATTTCATTGTAATGAGCAAAAACATTTATAATATGTAAAACTCAAAAGAAAACAAGCTTACATCTTTGGTAGATACAATGCATGATTAGTAGATAATAATCAAAGCTAATTACAGGGTTCCAGTGAGTTACTTTAAGGGCTAGGGAGGAATTACGTTTTCTAATTATAACTACAATGGTGGACAGGCAGAGATCATTGTTTAAAAAGGAAAAAAAAGCACATTGATTTGTTTGTGCTCCTTCATTGTAATCCTAGTTGGGGGGGGGTGGGGTAGTGTTGCCCCATTCCCTGGACACCTGCCTCTTAACAAAAGACCGTGATCTCCTCCACCCCCACCCCCGCATTTAGATTCACCTTTTCCTTCTGTGTACCCCCTCTGCTCATTATACAGTTCTCCAGGGATCCAGTTTTCCTCTGACTTAATCACCCCCAACCTTTTTCAGAAGTTGTTAGATTATGGTCCTTTCAAAGGATACACAGTTTCTTATGGAGCTCTTTACTTCTTTCCCCTAATTTTTCTCTCCTTATTTCTATTTTAAAATATAGACATTAGAGTTCTAACATACTACTTAAAAGTTTATTCAAGTATATCATACATACTGAGAAATGTGCCAGTCCTAAGTGTACAGCTTGATGAATTTTCAAAATAAACACATCCATCTAATAAACCAGGACCCCCAGAAGGCCCCTGTGACTCCTTCCAACCACTGCTCAGTTTCCCACGTCCAACATCACAGGATAGTTTTGCCTGTAAAATTTCATATGATATGGAAATCAAATAGTTGCAGGTACCCTCCACTTTACAAAAATTCACTTTATGCCATTTTTCTTTAATGAGAGTCAGCCTTCATTTAATGGAAATAAAGAGGGTGTTCACTTTTATGAAAAAAGGTGAAAAATGAAAATAATGTTCAACATTTGCTTTTCTGTGAGCCCCTTATAGAGGTAGCATGCACCCTGAGCCCTGAGCGGCCACAGGGGCACCACCAAACTTTCCCCACCCACTTTGGGAACTATTGTACATTCAGCACCAAGCCACCATAGCTTTGAACTGGATCTGTGAGCATCTGTGCTTTATCTGGAATTATTTTGTGCATCCATTAGGAAGATGTGTCTTGAGGTAATTGCTTCCTTGCTTTTCCCACCTTGGCTTACAAAAGCTTTCATAGGAACACACTACTTTGATTGCAGGGGAAGCCTGTGTTTTCCCTTGGCTCAGATACTGATCTTTCAAACCAGAATCCCCACAAAACTTGGATTATGTGCACATAGTATTGAATATCAGGTCGATATATAAATGTTTAGATGGCCATAGAACAGGAGAATGTTTTAAAGACTCCTTTTAACTCTGACCTTGGATAAAGTGCTAACCATTTTTGTGTTTTATTTTCTTTCCCTTTACCATGAGATGTGGTCTAAACTGATATTTCAAGTAAGTACTTAGCTAAAGTTCCTGTGCAGAAAGAATTTAAAAAAATAATAAAAATGTAAAAGCCACTTTTTTTGAGTAGGTGGAATAATAGAAAGGGTTCCCACATGAAATAGTAACTACATGATAATAACAGTGGCTTCCTTGTAGAGAAGCAGAACAATACAAACCTGACTTGCTCAACAGTTACATTTGCCACTTATGTCTCATTAATTATTTTTAAAATAAAAATGGCATAATGAATACCTATGGATGGATTGTCTTTTTGTACAATTAATGTATTACAGATGTCCAAGATAGGTTCGATTAAGGTTTATTCTCATCTTGTCATCACCTCTGGTCTGATTTCCTCTGATTTCAGCATTACTTAAAATATCTTATCTGTAAGATACCCTGGAATACAGGCAACTTGATTGTAAATTATTTATACCTGTCTTCTCCCTAACCAAGCCCTATTAAGTATCAGTTACTCCCATTCTTCAGTTCTAAAACAGTGTTTCATTTCTGCATTCAAGTAAATTTTCTTGGTCCTTCCAGCAAGAAATTGAAACATGATAAAATCCATGAGACTTCTAGGTAAAAATTTTCTCTTTAATTTAGAATACTGAATAACCTGTGGCCAAGTAAACTTATATAGAATGTGGAAATTAAATTGGTTTCTTCAGAAATGACCTTGCATACTGATATACTTTGGATAGGCTATTAAGTGGACACACAAAGATGGAAGAACCACCCCTTGGTCACTTTGCAAAAGTCTTTATCTTTGAGTTTTAGGACACTTTAATAGAGTGTTGGTAGCCAGTAAACATGAAGTGATATAATATTTGACACACCTTAATAGAAAACCATGGTGAGTTCAAAATATTGTAAAATCTTTTCATCTATTTTAAAATTGTGTAACTCACCAATAAAGTTTGAACAGGCAGTTATTAAATATAATTAAATTGCAGGCATTCACATAATGGAACAAAAGGAAGCATTCTCAGCAAGTGAACAAGAGACTAGTGAGACAGCTAAAGAAAATTTCCTTGGGGTGGAGGGGTGGACTTTAGTAGTATCTTTTAAGCATTGACTTCTAGAAGAACAGTACAAGCATACGGGAAGTATAACATGCCTTTAAAAACAAAGACAAGTTCTTCTCATCTGTAGTTGTTTTCTTTGTCTTAAAGTACACTTGTTTTAAGCAAGAGTGCATGCTTATACTACCTAGACCATTCCTACTAAATTCCTACTAAGGTGGAACCCCAGGGTTCTTTGGACTTTCCATCTGCAAGGAAAACTCTGGCCCAGAAAACAGCAGTGGAACATCAACACAGAAAGGTTGTGTTGCATGGTTATTGACATATTTTAAAATAATTTTACTTGTAAGTTACCCGTCACTGTCTTGTGAGCAAATAAAAATCAGATGACCAATAGCCACTTACATTTGATTAGAACCTTATTCTTTAAAACACTTTTAGCTTGATCTCAATTGATTGAAAGGCATAATAAAAATATGTCTGACGTAACAAAATTCCATAGACCACGTGGCTTAAACAACAGAAATTTATTTCTCACAGTTCTGGAGGCAGAAAAGTCCAAGACTGAGGTTCCAGTTGATAAGGATCTTGGTCAGGTCTCTTTCTGGCTGGCAGAGGATCACTTTCTTGCTGTGTCTTCATCCTTTCCTTTGTGCATGTGAGTGGAGAGAGACCTCTCTCTTCCTCCTCTTGTAAGGCCATCAGTTCTACCAGATTAGGACCTCAGTCTTCTGACCTCGTTATCTCCTAAAGGCCTTATTTACAAATATGGTAATGTTGGAAATTAGGGCTTCAACATAAGAAATTGGGGGATAGGACATAATTCAATCCAGAGTGACCCTTATAAGGAAGATGAGAGATAATCTGAAATACTTAAGGTCTGACAACTAGTAAAATATAATTAAGGTTCAAATAATTTTTACCTGGCTCCACATTGTCCTCCTTGATCACACAAATAGTTTATCTGAAAATTTTCCCCTACAAAATGCAGTTCATTAGTTGATTGCAGAGTCATCAAAACCAACTTCATGGTTTTACTTATTGCATACTTAGGAAAAATGGCGTTTATAAGATGTTCTGGATTTTTTTTTTTTTTGTCAGCTGAAGTCAGGTAGCTTTAAAATTGGTATCAAAAGTAGTAAGCTAAGTTTTAAAATTAGAATTGTAGTGATGAGGCTGGAGTTGCCTTCTTAGCATTCTTCATGGTTATAACTTAAATATCAAAAGAAAGTATCTCATTCTATATTTTACAGAAGATGATCTAAGAAATATGGGACCAGTAGATGCTCGAATATATCTTGAAGAAATGTCTTGGAATGAAGGTTGGAATTATTTTTTTCTCTTGATTACAATCAGGAAAAATATTAGGGACTTTGTATGAAACAACTTCATAGGATGTTTAGAAATCTTAAAAATAACAGCTTGGCTTTTTACATATATGTGGGTGTTTTTGTTTGGAATATTTTTGTTTCATTCTAAACTTCAGTTATTGGTGTCCCCCTCTGTGACTCATTCCGTTATTTTTCTGTCCTAATTAGATGTTAGGTACTTAAGGTTTCATATGGATTTCTTTTTTAAAGTACTTTGATTTTTGGTTTACTCTCCATCTGTGTAAGAGGGAAAATACAGTCAAAGAGGTAATTTCTTCCATGCTATGTTGACACTTGAGATGAATTTCTATTAGAATATATGTAGAAGGGGAAAAAGTGGTAGCAGTGACAGGTTTTATTTTATTGGGCTCCAAAATCACTGCAGATGGTGACTGCAGCCATGAAATTAAAAGACACTCGCTCCTTAGAAGGAAAGCTATGACAGACCTAGACAGTGTACTAAAAAGCAAAGACTTCACTTTGCCAACAAAGGTCTGTATAGTCAAAGTTATGGTTTTCCCTGTAGTCATGTAGATGTCCGAGTTAAACCATTAAGAAGGCTGAGTGCCGAAAAATTGGTGCTTTTGAATTAGAAGACTCTTGAGAGTCCTTTGGACGGCAAGGAGATCAAACCAGTAAATTCTATAGGAAATCAACCCTTAATATTCATTGGAAGGACTGATATTGAATTTCTAATACAGTGGCCACCTGATGTGAAGAGCCAGCTCATTGGAAAAGACCCTGATGCTGGGAAAGATTAAAGGCAAAGCAGAAGGGAGTGGCAGAGGAGGAGATGGTTAGAGAGCATCACCGACTCAATGGACATGGATTTGAGCAAACTCCAAGAGATAGACAGAAGAACCTGGCATGCTGCAGTCTGTGAGCTTGCGAAGTCAGACACAACTTAGTGAATGAACAACACAAATGTTTATTTTTGTTTCTCAATATGGACTCATAAACTGTCAGAGCAGGAATTTTGGAGCTTTATGTTTATCCTTCCTTTTTGATTGTGTCTTAGGTGGAAAAGAAAAATCTGTCACTCCTTTTTTACCAACCACGAGTCATGTCTTTTTCTCCTTCCCCATTAATAGAGTTTAAAAACTTAAATCTAACTTTTCATTCTTTGATTAGTTCTGTGAATTGCTCTGGTGAAATTTTATTCAGTTCCCATTTTTAAAAGTGGAAGCCATGAAGACCACACTTCCACGTTTCTCTGGACAAATGAAGAAATCTTACTGTTTTCTAGAATTTTTGTGCATTTGTGTGTGCTCAGTCACTCAGTCACGTCCAGCTCTTTGCAGCCCCATCGACTGTAGCCCACCAGGCTCTTCTGTCCATGCGGTTTTCCAGGCAAGAATACTGGAGTGGGTTGCCATTTTCTCCTCGAAGGGATATTCCTGACCCAGCAATCAAACCTGCATCTCCTGCATTGGCAGGTGGATTCTTTACCACTGAGCCACCTGGGAATCCCCTCTAAAATATTTATATGCTCTTAATCCTATAACTTTACTATTCACCCTGGAGTACAAATTCCTAGGAATCTATAAAAATTTATTAGTAAGTGTGGATAAGTAGAAGATAAACAGCCTGTCCTTTCCAAAACCAGGTTTACTGGAATATTTTTTAATGGCAAATTCTCAACTTAGTGCTCTTAGGAAGTTGAGTCTCAAGCTGTATTGACTTACGAGGGGAATCATGTTTTTGTTTATGAGCCACTCTGTGCCTCAGCTGCCAAATGTAAATCCTGAGTAGAGATTCTTACCTGCAGTGAATATTGGAAGACTTGAGGTTTTCTGTAACAGGGCTCCCAGGGTTTATGATAGTTTCATCAGAGTAAACAGGAAGAGCCGCTGGGCTGTGAAAATAAAATACACCAGTGATACTGGTTTCACTGCTGGTTTGTAAAAGGGATAGATTAGAAAATGTTATTGATCAGAGAGATCTACCCAGCTAAACAGTATTTTTTGAAGATACAGTATTACCAGTTTATCAGTCTGTGTATGTGTTTAATCTCTTATTGAACAAATTAGTTCTTGTTGTATTTTTACTTCAGTAAAATTTTAAAATATAATTTAAAATTTTATTTTAAATTAAGGCTATGGATTAGTGTTGTTCAAGCATCTGTTCAGTCAGCAGATATATGGGATTTTTAATAACAAGTGAAAATACCAAGATATTGAAGGACATGTACAACATTAAATCATCAAGTACCACCATAAATGTTGCTGTCTTTGGGATACCCTAAAGTATAGTAAGACTTTCCTGGTGGCTCAGACGGTAAAGCGTCTGCCTATAATGCGGGAGACCGGGGTTCAATCCCTGGGTCGGGAAGATCTCCTGGAGAAGGAAATAGTAACCCACTCCAGTATTCTTGCCTGGAAAATCCCACGGACGGAGAAGCCTGGTAGGCTACAGGCCATGGGGTCGCAAAGACTCGGACACGACTGAGCGACTTCACTTTCACTGCACTTTAAAAGTACAGTACATTCCCTGGCAGTGAAGAAAATAGAAGCATCCCAGCTACAGCCAGTGGAATCAGTTAGAAGCAGCTACAGTTAATCTTAAAAGCGTAGACTGTTCTTAGATACTTATTTACATTAAGGTTTTTTTAAATCATTGTAAAGATAGAAATAATCCTTATCCTTATGAGAGAAAATCCTAAGCAAGAGCTGCATGAAGCCATTTTTTTTGCAGGAATATTTAAAAACTGGTCATGTGAGTTTTGCAATTGAATTTGTGATTTTGAACTGTTAATTGTTTTTGCAATTACAAAGAGCAGTCTCGGCAGATGTAATTAAATAAAAAGTGTTATCAACTGAAGTAGTAAAAAATCAGTTGATGATGTGCCTTCATGGTTGTTTTCAGAATAACCTTGGAAGGTAAAGATCCAGAACAGGAGAAAAGTGGATGAAATCATACATGATAAACATAGCCAAACTATTAACTTCTTGGTCCAAGAACAGTAGGAAATGATGCATTTTATGATGCTTAAAATTGAGGCATACCTGAAGAACTTGAGAGAATGAAGTTAGCCATTGCCTTTACAGTAAGTGTGTTATATATAACTTGTATGTTTTGTCTTCATTCAGTATATTTAAAATTATGATTTCTGTGAAGATAACACTTTGTTAAGTGATAGTAGAATAATTTAAGAAGAAAGTTAACAAGATGTAAGTTAACATTTGGAATCATCTATGACAAAACTCCACAGTAGCCCATGGTGTCCTCTGCATCATTTACTAAGCACAAGTCACCTCACAGTGTTTCTCAGTGTTCACTGAGGTGGTGAAAAAACAAGAGGGAGATTTAAGAAAACCAATGATTAGAATATGCACATTTTTAGACAATTTAATAAAAAAAATACAATTCACTTTGGAATCATGTTCTATTACACAATATGTTAGCTCAGATAGGGAGGGATGTTAGCATTTTAAAATTCAAGATTACATTATTTTTCTTTATAGATAAAGAAAAGCATTGTGGTGAAAAATGAAAAGCAGCACTGTGAATTAATGTTTCCTTCCTTTCCTTCCCTAGTAGCTCAGGTGGTAAAGAATCCGCCAGTAATGAGATCCCAGTTCAATTCCTGGGTTGAGAAGGTCCCCTGGAGAAGGGATAGGCTGTCCATACCAGGATTCTTGGGTTTCCCTGGTGGCTCAGATGGTAAAGAGTCATCCTGCAATGCTGGAGACATGGGTTCAGTCCCTCAGTTGGGAAGATCCCCTGAGGAGGGCATCACAACCCACTCCAGTATTCCTGCCTAGAGAATCTCCATGGACAGAGGAACCTGGCGGGCTGCAGTCCATGGGGCTGCAGAGTTGGACATGACTGAGCGATTAAGCACAGCACAGCATAGAAAAGTCTTAGAAAAGTAAAGCTTCTTTCCTCTTTAATGGGCTTCCCTGGTGGCTCAGTGGTAAAGAATCTGCCTGCAATCCAGGAGACCCGGGTTCGATCCATGGGTCAGGATCTTGCCTGAAGAATCCCATGGACAGAGAAGCCTGACAGGCTATAGTCCATGGGGTCACAGAGTCAGACCACGACTGAGTGGCTAACATTTACTAATAAAAGAAACATGTAAAGTTGGCTTATTTAGTTGATTGTTTTCCCAAGACCAAACTTGGTTAGAGAATAAATATAAAGCAGCTGAATTTTTTTTCTTTTTCTTTTCATGGCATATGATGAGATCTCGGTGTTAAAAAATGAAGTTATGGGATTGAATGAAGATATTTAGTTCCAAATAGGAAGGCTGTATATTGTCACCCTGCTTATTTTATTACTTATATGCAAAGTACATCATGAGAAACGTTGGGCTGGAGGAAACACAAGCTGGAATCAAGATTTCCAGGAGAAATATCAATAACGTCAGATATGCAGATGACATCACCCTTATGGCAGAAAATGAAGAACTAAAGAGCCTCTTGATAAAATGAAAGAGGAGAGTGAAAAAGTTGGCTTAAAGCTCAACATTCAGAAAACTAAGATCATGGCATCCAGTCCCATCACATCATGGCAAATAGATGGGAAAACAGTGGAAACAGTGGCTGACTTTATTTTCTTGGGCTCCAGTATCACTGCACATGGTGATTGCAGCCATGAAATTAAAAGACACTTGCTCCTTGGAAGGAAAGTTATGACCAACCTAGACAGCATGATGAAAAGCAGACATTACTTTGCCAACCAAGGTCTGCTCTAGTCAAAGCTATGGATTTTCCAGGAGTCATGTATGGATGTCAGAGTTGGACCATAAAGAATGCTGAGGACCGAAGAATTGATGCTTTTGAACTGTGGTGTTGGAGAAGACTCTTGAGAGTCCCCTGGACTGCAAGGAGATCCAACCAGTCCATCCTAAAGGAGATCAGTCCTGGGTGTTCACTGAAAGGGCTAATGTTGAAGCTGAAACTCCAATACTTTGGCACCTGATGCAAAGAGCTGATTCATTTGAAAAGACCATGATGCTGAGAAAGATTGAGGGTGGGGGGAGAAGGGGACAACAGAGGATGAGATGGTTGGATGGTATCACTGACTCAATGGACATGGTTTTGGGTAGACTCCAGGAGTTGGTGATGGACAGGGATGCCTGGCGTGCTGTGGTTCATGGGGTCGCAAAGAGTCAGACATGACTGAGCTGACTGAACTGAAGATATTTAATTATAAGAAGTTATCTTTAGAGATTTAGTTCATTTATCCCTAGTTTTTTCATGATGCTAGTTAAATAATATGATCAGTAATTATTTTTCAGTGACAGTAAAATGAAATAACCAGTGGATCAGAGATTCTTTCTGGTAAAAGAAACAAGTTTTCAACTTACCAGGAAGATGACAGACTTATAAAATTATCACCATTAGTAGGCAAAATGTTGCCTCCTTTGGGCATTTCACTTCAGTGATTGTCCTTTTGTTTCTTCCATCATTTGTAAACACCAAACAAACAGGCGCACACACAGCCCCCACAGAAAGAACACCATAGTGTATGTTTATATATTAGGTTGGTACAAATGTAATTATAGTTTTCAGGCCATGGACTTAAAATCATTATAACCAGGCTAAAATACATCTTTATTAATCAAAACAGGAACCATTACAGTCAACACATTTTTTGCCAATGAGAAATGCTTGTTTATTCCCATAGCATAAAAATCCGTGCTTCCAAAAAAAAAAAAAAAATCCATGCTTCAGGATTCAACAAAACTCTTGGAAAGCATTTTCTGCATCCTGCTGGTTGTGGAAGCATTTTCCCTGCAAAAAGTTGTCGAGATCCTTGAAGAAGTGGTAGTTGGTTGGCAAGAGGTCAGGTGAATATGGTGGATGAGGCATAACTTCATAGCCCAATTCATCCAACTGTTGAAAGCCTGGATGTGTGATGGTGCCGTCAGGTGGTGGTGTGGAGAAGAACTGGGCCCGTTCTGTTGACCAGTGCTGGCTGCAAGTGTTGCAGTTTTCAGTGCATCTTGATTTGCTGAGCGTACCTCTCATTACATACCTCAGATGAAATGGTTTTGCTGGGATTCAGAAAGCTGCAGTCAGACTGGCAGCAGACCACCAAACTGTGACAAAGGACTTTTTTTTTTTTTTTTGGTGCAAGTTTGGCTTTGGGAAGTGCTCTGGAGCTGCTTCTTGGTCCAGCCACTGAGCTGGTCATCACTGGTGGTTGTACAAAATCCACTGTTCATCTCACATCACAGTCCCATCAAGAAATGGTTCATAGTTGTGTAGAATAAAAGATGACACTTCAAAACGATTTTTTTATATGCCATGAGGCATCCACTTTTCAAGCTTTTTCACCTTTCCAATTTGCTTCAAATGCTGAATGACTGTAGAATGGCCAACGTTGAGTTCTTCAGCAGCTTCTCCTGTAGTTGTAAGAGGATCAACTTGGATGATGGCTCTCAATTGGTAATTGTCAACTTCCGATGGCCAGTCACTAGGCTCATCTTCAAGCCTCTCATCTCCTTTGCAAAACGTCTTGAACCACCACTGCACTGTACATTTGTTAGCACTTCCTGGGCCAAATGCGTTGTTGATGTTGTGAATTATCTCCATTGCTTTACGACTCATTTTGAACTCAGATTTGCTTCTTGTCTAACATCATTTCCCTAGTCCAAAATAAATATAAAATAGCAAGTAATTATTCATTAGCAAAAAAACATAAAAGTGAGAGATGTGCATTAAAATGATGACCACATTTAGAATGTATTCCAATATCAACCTTGCACCAACCTAATATTTTAATCAGAATTCTTGAAATAGTGTGATACCAGAAGATACAGGAATCTGCTGAATTCAGCAGTTTTTTCTGAAATGATATACTGCAGGCAAAGGGATGCTCCTTGACAATAAGACAAGTAGGGCTATTTCTTTTTCCTTCACAGTAATATTTTAGACAAAACTGTTAAGAAGAATATAAAATTTCTATGAATCTTAAAGAAACATAAGATTTCAAATAAATTTCATTGCTCACTCTGAGCATCTCCTCTCCCCCATGAGATTTTTGGCCTAGCATTTCATAGTTTCCATCCTTCTCCTCCACAGATAATGACCTTTTAGTAACTAATTTTTAGAAGCACTGCCCCTATACAAGACATTTTTTCAAGTTTTCATTTAAATATATTTTATATTGACAGATCTTTTATTTTGCATTTTTTGTGGAAAGTTACTTTTAAAAAGGTTGTTAATTTACATGTGTTTACATGTAAGTGTTTTTTATTTTCTTTGCAGATGATCATTCCTTTTCTCTGAGCTGTCGATGTGGTGGAAAGTACAGTGTTTCAAAGGATGAAGCAGAAGAAGTTACGCTGATTTCTTGTGATACATGTTCACTAGTTATCGAACTCCTTCATTATCGCTGAGATTGTTCACTAAGTGGAATTCTTTAGTGTTTTCAGACACATGGAGGAGAGGCCACTCCACCCTTGTCCATTCAAGCAAATGTATAAAGCTGATTAAACAAAAGGATTTCTTTTTTTTGTCAGCTCTGTTTTTGCAGAGAAAAGATAAGACTGTCAAGCAGAGGCCACCTGGATTAAGAGAAAATTAATTTCATGATTCATATATATTTATAATTATACATCGCAAGAAAGTGGTCTTGAATGTAAATTTATATTAAATAAATTCCCACCTGAAAACCTTATTATTTGTTCACTTTCCTATTGGTACAAAGTAAAAATTTTCCTTCCTTCGTGTATGTGTGTCTCTTTTAATGGGTCATAGAATCATCATATTCTCTTGTAGTTGCTATGTTTTTGAAGTAATGTGATATATCTAGCTGCTAAAGTAATACGCCTTTTATACAACTCTCTAATCTCAGGTCATTAGAATTAAGTTAGAATCCTTGTGAATAACATGTAAACCTAGCTTCCCCATGATGAAAGCTGAATATGGATATTCATTAGGTTATTTCAAAGTTAATAAAGTGAAATGGCAACTGTAGAAAGAAGGATAGCCCTGGAGTCAGAAAACATGACTGTTGTGTTGCTGGTGTGATGAAAAGGACTTTTTAAATGTGTTGATATTGATTACAGCTAACTATAAAGACTTTGATTTTCTGTATATTTACTATTCTATGTACAGAGTAAGTCAGAACTCATTTAAAAAATTTTTTAAGAAATCTTTTATGGGATCACTGAAACTTTGTTCCTTAATTTCAAATGACTGAGCCAAGCATGTGACTTAGCAGCTTTTTATTAGGTTAAACTCTTGGTATTTATTATTGGTTTGGACTTAATAAGACTAGTTACTACTCGACCTTGTAAATGTAGCTAAAGTATGAGGCATACTCAAGAGGAGTAAATTATTTTCATTTTACCTATACAACCAAAAATTTGAAAGTGAGGTGGTTCTAGGTTTTCCCTAAAAATACTTTTATATCTAAATTTAGATGACTTACTTTGGATTATATTTTTATCCATATATTTTGAACAAATATAGCTTCCAGAGTGTGTGGTGCTTATTCTTTATTTTTAACAATTAAAAATAAAAATTGAATAACAAACAGTTTATTAGTAAGTACATGGTTTTAGTGACAGTAAACTCATTTGAACAGAAGACAATAATCAAATGAAAAGAATAAATGTTTGCTACTCATCAGAGAATCTGTGACCATTAGGGCTGTTACGCAGAAATCCAAAATCATTCAGAGGCCAAATCTGAAAAGTCAAATGTGATTGAAGACAATTAATAAAGCGATGTTATAGCATCATCATATTTCCCTTGTCATCCCTTTCTCCTTATTCTACAATCAAGAACAAATTTTCCACATCAAAATAACACTGTAGAAAGTAAACCTGTATTTGTGTACATATTTAAAGTCTAAAATGTGAAACATTCAAATATTATATAAGAAATAATATGTGTGTATTTTCTTTCACTACTGTCAAAATTAACTGTAAGCCTAAGTACTTGAGAATAACATCTGCTTAAGTGTAAAAAATCCTGTAAATTATCCAACAGCACCAAGTACTCATGTCTGTTTTTCTCCTTTCTGCCTGTGACAAAATGGAAAGGCCAACAATAATCTCTACTCTGACTCAGTGATTTACTACAGCGAGGCACATGACTCTTACTAACTTACTAATAACTAGGACATCCCTGCATTCCAGCTAGCTGGACTCTAGACTGCTCTTCTGCAAATGCATATTAATACATGCCCTGGGTATGAATATGGTTGGAAAAGTTGTATGAGAGAAAATTAAATTTTGGAAAGTTAAAAGCTTCTTATGCTACCACTAAAGTAATTTGAACTTTGTTATTCAAACAAAAATATCCTCAGTTACCTGTCATAGTGGGGGAGTGGTAATGTTTATTATCGCTATGAAGGTTAACATGCTCCTAAGGTGTAGTCATTGTAACAGCCTAAAGATTTCAGAGAGCATTTGAAAGAAATTGGTTTTTTCTGTTTGTTTTTTCCCCCAGCTCAGAAAAGCAAGCCTGCATTTTAAGCAGAAAACAGTAGTACCTTAAGGAAGATTCGTCCTCTTATTAGTCCATATGGAACAGGTCCATAGTACCTGGAATCTGTAGAATTCTGTAGATTATCACCTTCTAACCAAACATGACCCTTTGGCACCTAGAATTAGAGAAGAAAGCACCCCCTTTCAAAACAAATATGGATGCTATGAATAAAAAAATTATGTCTTTTGGAGGTAGCAAGGAACAAAGTTCTTTTGTAAAATATAGTCAGACCCTATGGTTTGCATTTTTGCTATTATATCTGGCAAAATAAATTTTACTAAATATTAGTAAGTAGTGTTAATATTTCAACTTTTAAAAAGACCTATCTCTTTTGCCACATGGTTCCCAAACATTAATTTGTTATACAAACCCCAAACTGAGGTTATGAGAGATCAAAACAGTGTGACAGGGTCATTAATTTAATAGACTTCAAAAGAGGTCATTAGGATGCTGGCTGAAAATGTGCCCCCCTGTCTCAATAACAGCATAAGCGGGGCAGCCAGTCACTCAGCAACATCCTGGGGCCAACACCAAGGCCAGACCTATTAGAATGTTCATGATGAACTAAGTGGTAATTGATTGTGACATCAATTACAAATAATCTCATCATTTTATTGGAGTGGGCTTGTCAGAATTCTAATTAAGATCCTTGTTCTGCCTTTGTACAGGCCATATCTTCAATGTTTTATATACTTCAATAATGACCATCAAGAACTAGAAAGACCTATTATAAAATCATCAGTTGTGAAATTAATGATGGTGACCCTCTACTAAATGAAAAGATCTTATATATGTCCTGTGTATTAACTGGTAAATAACATAAATTTAAATTTTTACTCAATGACAATCATAAGCATATTTAGAACATGTTACTGTAAAAAAAAGTGCTCTGTGACATGAGACAAATGCCTACTAATATCTGCTCAATATAAACTTTAAAAATTACCCTCTAGCAATTCTGTTTTTAAAATTGTATTTTAAAGTTTCTTTTTTTACAGTAGTTGTTACCCAAGAAAGTTGAATTACTGACTAGCCAAAACGATCTATTGGGAAGGAATTAATTTTCGCTATTTTTTTGACTGATTATTACTTGGGAACCTTATGTGAAGAAAAATAGTCCTATTAGGTTTAGTAAGAAATGACCTATCTTTCAAATGTCACAATTTTTTTTCAAAGACCATCTTTTAGAGCAGTTTTAGGTTCACCAGACATGAGAGAAAGGTACTATTTCCCATACGCCTCCCACCCTCACACATGCATGGCCTTCTATTACTGACATCCCCCACTAGAGTGGCATATTTGTTACACCTGGCGAACTCACAAAACCATCATAATCACCCAGAGTCCCATAGTTTACTTAGGGTTCACTCTTGGTGTTGTACGTTCTGTGAATTTGGACAAGTGTACGACATGGATCCCCTACTACAGTATTATACAGAATATTTTCACTGCCCTCCAAATCTTCTGTCATCTTCCTTTTTCATTTCTCCCCCCACCTCCCCTGCCATCACCTCTGAATTTTAACTTTTGGAAAAATTAATTTGTACAAGCATGTAAAATAAGAAGTACGTTTTACATCAGATATAATTTTGGAATGTCTTATGTAGAAATATTAGCCCAAAATGAGTCAAGCTAAATATTTTCATTTAGATACACTTAAATGTCAAATCTATTTAAAGAGAAAGAATAAAAGTGTTTTGAAAGAGTATCAGATATTGTAATATCATTAACTCCTACTGGTGGAACTACCATAGGTTCTGGGTGGGGCCAATAGCAAAGTTAGTTCTTAACCTATAAAATAAGTTGATTTATGTGCAGTGAAGCGTAAGGCTACTCAAATAGAAAAATGAGTACATCTCAGGTTACAGATGAAAATAGCAAAATAGTGTATCTGGAAATAGTATATGTGGGCTTCCCAGGTAGCTCAAATGGTAAAGAGTCTGCTTGCAATGCGGGAGACCTGAGTTCAATCCCTGAGCTGGGAAGATCCCTTTGGAGAAGGGCATGGCAACCCACTCCAGTACTCTTGCCTGGAGAATCCCATGGACAGAAGAGCCTGGTGGGCTACAGTCCATGGGGTCTCACAGAGTCAGACATGACGGAAGTGACTTAAGCACCTGCAGCATAAAGTACACAAATCAAGGGAGCAACCTCATCACTGATGGTACCTTTAATAAGAGCTTCTCTATAAACAGGAAAACCTTCAAGTCTGAGTCTTAAAATCAGTCACCTTTGCTGACCTACCCCTCTATCAGTTACTCACTATCAATTCATTATGTTTGAAATTACTTTTGGAACACATATTTTTGATATGGGGTAAGTGGAAGCAGTGTCAGACTTTATTTTTTGGGGCTCCAAAATCACTGCAGATGGTGACTGCAGTCATGAAATTAAAAGATGCTTACTCCTTGGAAGGAAAGTTATGACCAACCTAGATAGCATATTAAAAAGCAGAGACATTACTTTGCCAACAAAGGTCCATCTAGTCAAGGCTATAGTTTTTCCAGTGGTCATGTATGGATGTGAGAGTTGGACTGTGAAGAAAGCTGAGCACCGAAAAATTGATGCTTTTGAACTGTGATGTTAGAGAAGACTCTTGAAAAGAGTCCCTTGGACTGCAAGGAGATCCAACCAGTCCATCCTAGAGATCAGTCCTGGGTGTTCATTGGAAGGACTGATGCTGAAGCTGAAACTCCAATATTTTGGCCACCTCATGGGAAGAGTTGACTCATTGGAAAAGACCCTGATGCTGGGAAGGATTGGGGACAGGAGGAGAAGGGGACGACAGAGGATGAGATGGCTGGATGGCATCACCGACTCGATGGACATGAGTCTGAGTAAATTCAGGGAGTTGGTGATGGACAAGGAGGCCCGGTGTGCTGCGATTCATGGGGTCGCAAAGAGTTGGACATGACTGAGGGACTGAACTGAAGAGTGTACACTTTTTTTTGGGGGGGGGTGTACACTTTAAAATCAATTTTATAGACATATACTTTACAGTAAAATAGACTCATTTTAAGTTTTGACAAATGTGCACTCTTGTGTAAGCACTTACCACAATCAAGATGTAGAACATTACTCTCACTCCAAGTTCCCTCCTTTTCAGGTCAACCTCCCACCCTTATACTTCATACTAGGCAACCAGTGATCTGTCTCCTGTTACTGGAGACTAGTTTTACTTGTTCCTAAATCTCATACAAAGAAGACTGCACAGTACATACTTTCGTGTCTGGCTTTCGTTGAGCAGTTTTTAAATGATTAATACATGTTACATGTATCAGTCTTTCATTTCTTTTTACTGCTGAGTATTGTTGTCGTTTAGTCACTAAGTTGCATCCAACTCTGTGACCCGATGTACTGGAGCTTGCGACGCTTCCCTGTCCAGGCAAGAATACTGGAGTGGGTTGCCATTTCCTTCTCCAGGGGATCTTCCTGACCCAGGGGTCAAACCCGTGTCTCCTGCACGGGCAGGTGAATTCTTAACCACTAAGCCACCCGGGAAGCCCTTCTGAGAATATCCTATTGTAAATCACAGTATTTTTTCCCCATGAACCTGTTGATGGATATTTGAGTAACCTGCAGTTTTTGGCTATTACAAATAAAGTGCTATGAACACTGATATATACACATCTATTTTTTTCCAGTAAATATGTAAGGGTGGAATTTCTGGGTTGTAAGTTTATGTTTAACCTTAAACTTTTCCAAAATAATACCATTTTACATTCCCAACACCAATGTATGTTTGTTTCTGTTGCTTTATAACCTTGGTATTTTCAGTTTTTAAGTTTTGCCTGTCTATTAGGCTATTTTCATCACACTGTGGTTTTCACTTGCATTTCTCTTAAGTATTTTTCCTTCTACCTATTAGTGTATCTTTTGTGAAATATCTACTGAAAATATTTTGTTCATTTTAAAAATGTATTCTTCATTTTAAGAGCTCTTTATATACCTTGAGTACAAGTCTTTTGACAGATATTGCAAATATTTCTTCACAATCTAGGATCTTTATCTTTTCTTTTTCATTTTTCAACCTGCTGTAAAGACCATATAAATTACACTCTTTAAAATTTCTCTTGGTTCTTTCTTTTATTTAGCACTTCTTCCCTTGTGTTTATCCTCTGGATCCTTGAAAGTACTTATAATTAGTGTTTTAGAGCAGGTGTCCCCAAGTTTCTAGGATCTAATGCCTAATGGTCTAAGGTGGAGCTGATATAATAATAGAAATAAAGTGCACAATAAATGTGTTTGAATCATCCTGAAACCATCCCCTGTGATCAGTGAAAAAACTGTCTTCCAGGAAACTGATCCCTGGTGCTAAAGAAACTGGGGACCACTGTTTAAGAGCACATGACTATTCCATTATCCCTGTCATTTCTGGATCTGTTTTTCTTCTGTCATGTGTTTCANAAGTTCAGCACCACTTACTCCATAGTTGTCAGATGTTCAAATTATCTAATTTTTAAAGTCTTATTACTTTTTTTTTTAGTGCTAAAGAAACTGGGGACCACTGTTTAAGAGCACATGACTATTCCATTATCCCTGTCATTTCTGGATCTGTTTTTCTTCTGTCATGTGTTTCATTTTCCCACTTCTTTACATATCTAACTTGTGACTGAGCTGAACATTCATTTGTTGAGTGGATTTTGTTTTCTTTTAAGATAGCGTTGAATGTTGAGGTGGTCTGTTTGGTTTTTAGAAGGGAGTTAAGTTAGCTGTGAATCAGCTTATTCCTTTCAAGCCTTGTTTTTAAGTTTGTTGAGTTGGGTCTCTCATACTGAGTATTCCAAGAGCTAGTCTAGCCCACTCCTAAGGCATTCCACAGTCTCTTCTGAATACTCTGGATATTCAGTGATTTCCTTCCCCTGTGGCTGGTAAATTCTACAATGGCTCTCAGCCCTGTGTGACCTCTGAATTGCTAGGCTGATCCCCACTAGCTGTTCTTCGCTCAGTCTCTAAATTTCACCATGCCTGCTAAGTTGCTTCAGTCGTATCTGACTGCGATCCCATGGACTGTAGCCTGCCAGGCTCCTCTGTCCATGGGATTCTCCAGGCAGGAATACTGGGGTGGGTTGCCATTTCCTCCTCCAGGAGATCTTGCTGACCCAGGGATCGAAT